GCGATTTTCAAAAATTAATCAGATTCAGTGTTATTTGTCAAATCCTATCCAGACACCTTGACCTGTATTCTTGGTAATATTCACGTTGTCCAATTTCGTGTATTTCAAACGACTCTCCCATATCCTAATGTAAAATTAAAACAATTACAGACTAACGTACACTCTTCACTGAAAAGCTTGCTATGATCTAGAAGTTTGGAAGCGGTGCGAACGCTAATGAAATTGTGGAAACTCAGAGATGAATTGCCACACAAAACTTATGTGGGCAAATTTTCATTACTTCGCTGAACGACTACAAACTTCATTCGAGAAGGATAAGTGCATCACTAAAGTACTCATCTAAATTGGCAAATGTACCTGAAATTGTTACTGCCAAAACACCGCGAGAAAGCGAGTTAAGTGTTTCCTTTTTTGTAAGACGATCTATTGTGCGCATGCATTTTTCCTACTTCCTCCACACGCCTGATAACCGCAAGTTTTAAATGTCAAGGCGCAGGGTTCCCGACGTCACACGAAATTGATATTTATAATTATGCTTTTCTTTTAACACCGGCGATAGGTGTGCGTGTGTGTGTGTGTGGAGGTTTGTTTGCTGGTTGTGAAAAGAAAGTTCAGGATCAATCCAGTTCACACGATTACAAAGGTGATTTTGGAAATACTGGCATCCCTGTGAAAATTCAGCGAACGGGTTTCAAATAAGTCACGTGTAGACCCGCTTCTGAAGAAATCCATCAGCTCTGAAATGTCTTTCAATCACGCTGTGATTTAATATATTTAAATTTCAAATTAAATTAAAAATTTTAAATAACTAAGATTTTATTTCCTTATTTTATACCAATATTTAAAATTTCGATCAAATTTAAAACAAATGAACAAGAAAATAAATATTTTTAAGCAAAAATTTTAAGTAATTGCACATGTTAATAATTAAAACAAAGTTTAAAAATTAATAGCATTATCTTTTTGTAACATAAGTGGAAAAGAAGAGAAATTGTTAAGTTAAATGATATTTACCTTAGAACCCAATTTGTAAATGTTAAAAGTTACCTCTTTTCCATTCATTAAAAGGCCAACTAATTTTTGTACAAACAAAAAGTGGAGGCAAGGTGGATAAAGTTGGGGGTGCATCGAAGGTCTTCTTTTTTTGAGAAGGAGAGTTCGAAGGAAAATAATTACCATTTCAGTTAGGGCTTTGTTTTTCCACTGGGGGTGGGGGGGGGGGATTCTGGCCTTCAAGCTTTACCGCAAAAGATCAGGCAAAACGCGCACTTCCAGCTCCATTGGAATTCTATTTGAAATTTCCTCTTCTGGAGGTATGATCGGCGGTTAAACACGCAAGGTCTGAATTTACTGGGGGGTGGGGGGGGCTATTTTGGTAAAGAGGGAGGGCGAATGGTGGCATCAGGTTGGTGGAGACGCATTTTTTCATTGTTATCTCCTTATGACCTTTACGGAACACCACCCTATTTCGCAAACGTCCCCACCCCCACCCACCTCTCTCCTGTCTCACCACTTCCCCCCCCCCTCCTTGCACACACCATCTAATTCCAATCGCCATAGTAACCATCTTGCGGGTGGGGTGGAGGTGGTGGGGGGGGGGGGGGGGATGCGAGGGAGGCACGCTCCATTGAAAAGGTTATGAGCACGACCCCCCACGTGCGCATTAATCATTGGGGTTTTTAATTGATGATGATAATTATCTTTTTAGCATGATAATTCTAGAAATGCTGTTGATGACGCTCCTAATATACGTTGGGAAATCGTTTTTAGCCCATACGATTGGTCCGAATTTGCGCTTTCCACAAGCAACGTCAATTCTGTTCAACCTCTTGTCTCTCAAAAAATGGCTTGGAAATTGAGGTACTTTGAGTAAAGTGGCTCTTTTCTTGCCATAGATGATATGCAACACATCTACGATTTAGCGGGGTTTCAATTAGTTCTTTCAAAAGGCCCAAAGAAGGAGAAAATGGAAATATATATTAAATGAAGTGGGAATTTTGTCAAAAGTAAAATATTTAATGACCTCTCTTTTTTAATAATTACACACTTTTTCTGGCGTTGACAGTTGTTCTTGGTCAATGAGAGGGACCGATTTCTTCAGTGAAAAGCCATAATTTGCATCTTTTTTTGGTTAAAAGTAAGATCAGGCTAAAAGTGCACCAATATTAACGGTGTTGTCATTAATCATGTCACAGTGAAACACGATTACAAGATGTATCCATGGGGAGGCAATCTTCACCACGAAAGCACAAGTATTGCCTAATTAGGAGAATGGGCTCGAGTGAAGGTTAACAGTGAATTCGCAGTATCAAAAGTGACTTTTTTTTATTGCGGTTTATTTTCTTTGAATGCCCGATGCGCTGAGGCTTAATTCACTTAATTTTGCTCTAATTTTCCTGGGTTCAGACTTACTTGCTTAACGCCTTAATTCATAATTGGTTTCGTGCTAGCAATATTCAGATTTAATTGCCCAAAAATCAATTTCCTCGATGGCAATGTTTGACACCGTGGGGGCACTAAAAACGGCGTTTATATAATTGACGAAGTCAGTAGATGACCTCCAAAATGAATGACATTGTCAAATGGCTTAGAGTTTTCGTCAGACTTTGAGAAGGACAATCTAACTGCCGGTGTTTAATTTTGTCATCTAGACTATAAAATAAGTAAGACTACTATAATAAGCAAATTATGTTCCTTTTAATTAAAAGCAATAGCACTGCATTACGTGGGAATCACATCAGCATTCTTCTCTATGTCTGACGAAAATTGGAGAGACAAAACTTCAATAATAAAAATCGAATCACCATATTTTCTGAATATGTCTTTTGTTGATGAGAAATTTGCCCACACGCCAGTGGATTTTATGGTACATCTCAAAAATGCATATTATAATTTATATTATATTAAGCATTACTGCAAAATAACATTATGTTCTCATAGACTAATTTAAAGGAAATTGTTATTTAAGTAAGATATAAGCTGACTTTAATGATGGAACTGTGTGCAATTTTATTAGAAATTAATTATCCAAAGTTTAAACAACAGCGATAAATTAACAAACATTTATTTATTAACAAAATTTGCAATTTATTTATTTCTTGTGCATTTGGGACAGATTATTTCTTCAAAACTGCTAACATCGGTGTTTTAAATATTGAATATTTAAATTAAGCGAATTTCGATAGCAACTGATTGAATATTCATGTAAGGTCCAGTAGACGGAATGAGATAGCCGGAAACTTCCCAAACCGTGTCAGAATTCCATTGCATTCACACCTCCTTTCCACGTAGAAAAGCATCCCTAACGTGGGAAGTTTAAGTAGTCCAAGTCATTCCCTGATAATATGTTCGGAGATTGCTCTCAAGATAGTTCCCAACCTGTCATGTGGGATGACTAATTTCCTTAAGCGCATATTTCAAGGCGAACGTAAATCAAAGCTGTGTGTGTGTGTGTGTGTGTACTTCCTTCTGTTCGAATCCTTCTCATCTGGAGGCGACTGTCGACTACACGGACTCGGAGACGTTCAAAAGGGGAGAGAGAGAGCTTTCAGGTTTAACTATTCGGGAACACCTATAAGCAAGGCTCAAGCGTACATACTCATAATTAAGCCACATTTAGTGGACAACTCAATGACTTTTTTAAAACCCTTCTCCATTTCTGGACACCGCAGAATCACGTTTTTTTCTCCTGTTTACCATGAACCGAATTCTAGACGCAGATGTTCCAAACGGCAATCGACCCCAACTCACCTAACACCTATAACACATATAAACTAAAAATTAAAAAAGCTTATCCATCTCCATTGAATTCACCTAAGGAGACTTTGTTACTGAATTGCAGCCTACTTAAGCGCACTATTTACCATTGAGGCGCCTTTTTCAAATGGCACTCTTGCCTTAATCTGAATCGAATCTGACAAATAGGGAGAGGGAGAGGTATTCAAAGTCGGGTATGTGATTTGCCCTCAATTAAGTGATCCTTGCTATTAATCGAGTCAATCAATCATTAGGGTAGATCTAGAGAGGAACAGTTGGCGATATCAAATAATTCACCCCCACCACCACCACCACTCCACCGTCCCCCCGGGATACACGGGTCTTTCACCTTCAGATTCACAAAATCAGCAAGGGTAGACTAGCAAATAGTTATGTAAGTTATTTTTACTCATATAGACAGGACACATACTCGAAGAAGACCAAGTTAAACAAACACGCACAAATACATTAAAGAGGAAGAAATTAATATGAAACCTCAATGTCAAATGGAGGCCAGGTGTGGGCAGGACCGGGGTGGGCGGCGAGAAGGATGCAAAATTTGATTCTGTTTGAGATTAGTGTGTGTCTACAAGTTTTTGTGGAATCGGAACAGCGCGATGTGGGAGGGATGATTGGTCGTTGTAATGTGGAGTGGTATTGGCTTCCAGAATGGAATGTAACGAGTCTTTTCATAAGGACAGGTTTTCGGCTCTTCTTATTCTTCTTCTTCTTCTTCTCTCTACCAACTGCGGCAATTTTTTCATCAAATCTACGATAATGTCGGCACATAAGAAACGGGGGTGGGGGTGGGGGGGG